GACTTCTAGCAATCACTCCTATCAATTCTATCAGTAAATAACTCCAAATGTTTTGCAAATGCTCCTCTGGGCAGTGGAAAATTGAGTCAGTCACTATATACTTAATGAGGACTGCTAAGATTTAGCCTTACGCTTGTGTTTATCTACTGAACTGGAAGGGTCCATGAGGGCAGCACCTCAGAGGAGTCGGGTCCAGTATAAAAGGAGTCCTATTTCCTTTTGATGAAGAGATTAACTAAAGCCTGAGTGAGAACCCGTTTTGGCAGTCCTGTCTGGCAAAGGAAGGGGAGCAGAAAGGTGGAATTTTAACTTCAGCACAAATGTATTTTTTTCACAAGTCAGGAGTGATTGCTAGAAGTCATTTCCATCAATTCTATCAGTAAATAACTCCAAATGTTTTGCAAATGCTCCTCTGGGCAGTGGAAAATTGAGTCAGTCACTATATACTTAATGAGGACTGCTAAGATTTAGCCTTACGCTTGTGTTTATCTACTGAACTGGAAGGGTCCATGAGGGCAGCACCTCAGAGGAGTCGGGTCCAGTATAAAAGGAGTCCTATTTCCTTTTGATGAAGAGATTAACTAAAGCCTGAGTGAGAACCCGTTTTGGCAGTCCTGTCTGGCAAAGGAAGGGGAGCAGAAAGGTGGAGGACAGGCAAAGGCAGAACAAAGACTCCAGATGGTGGAAGGGGACCCTGTAATCTGCTGTGCAGATTTGTTCCTGAATTTGTCTGGGAAACAGAGCGCAGATTTGTTCCTGAATTTGTCTGGGAAACTAGGAAACAGAGAGAGAGAGAGACCAGCCATAGAGAGAAGGGAAAGAAGATTTGAGGGGCTGGTCTGTTGGAGAAACAAAGTTAAGTCTGTCTTTCTGCTTGAGAAAATGAACCATGAGCTTCGGGGGAAAGACCTTAGAGAACCAAGCCTACAGAAGGGGACTGGGGAGGAAATGCAGATCTGTTCATTACACCTCCTACCTATTTTTTCTGGTTGAGAAAATGAACCATGAGCTTCGGGGGAAGGACTTAGAAAACCAAACCTACAGAAGGGGACTGGGGAGGAAATGAAGATCTGTTCATTACATCTCCTACCTATTTTTTCTGCTACTGACATCAATGGTCTCCTTAGTCCTATATGAAAGCTAAATAATTGGTTCCATTGCTGTGAAGGTTTAGTGCAGACAGCATGTGCCCAGGGGGTGTATTATAGAAAGCAAGGGAGGAAAAAGTGCAGTCTACACAGATTCAAGTAAAAAAAAGTAGATTGCTTAATACCCAAGAGACTGTTGTTTCCTCCAAGGTTTGCCTCTCCTCTGAGCTGCTGGCTTGACTTATGTCAACGCTGTCACTCAGATGTCCTTTGATTCAGACGATGTGGACTAGAAGCATAGCAGTGGCATATTGCTGGGCAAACAGCTGCCAGGGAGCCTCTGAACAGCAGCTGTCAAGCTGCTAAAAATTCAAATAAATATCAGTTCTAGCTTCGTGTAGTTTCAAAGTTTCACACAGTGCCCAACTGATCAGCTTGGTGTTTTTTTTCCTTGCATCCTTTGGCATCACTAATGATGTGACCTACTGGTTTAACTAACAACTGCCCAGGTGAGTGAGAAAGGTAAATAGTTAATGTACCTTTGGAAAGGCTGGAATGATGCAGGGCTGGATGCTTGTAGGTCTTTGAGGAGGTGATGCTCGACACATTTATGGGCTAATTCCAGGGTAGTTCAACTTGCAGCGTGTACCAGACAGGATGGTACTAATGGAAGGCACCTCTCCTTGCTAAATCTATGCCTGGAGCACAGTAGGAGGCACAACATTTTCTAAAAAGAGGGCAAAAAGGTGGATTGAGACATTTAAGTTCACTAATATTAAAATAATTCCATTATTATTTTACCCTTCTCAGTTTCATACTGCATTAAATATAAGAATGTCTCTTGTATGTGCAGTGCCATTTGAAGGACAGTATGTGTATTTGAATCACTTGTACGGGGCTGGCAGATTTGGTTTCAGAAAACCAAGCTATGATTCTACTTAATCAATTTTTAAGAACTGAATCTATTGTTTGAGCAAAGCAGGGATTCTTGGCAGGACGGAGCTATTGGCATGCAACAGAGAATTTCTGCAAGACCATAGGAAAGTGAGAATGGAGGGAAACAATAGTGGTTTGTTAGTGGGTGAGCAAGGGCACAAATGTATACGCTCCTGATTCAAAGCCCAGTCTGTGTTTCAGGGAGCCCAGTATTTTAGGATAACTGAATATACCAAGATTATAAACTTTGTCTTTCTTAAATCCAGGTAAATTCTGCCATTGCCTTTGATAGGGCCAGATGTCTACCTCTAGATTCTGTCCCATTCAATCCAATTAGACCATTTTTACAGAAGCTGTGGTGATTCTATACTTATCAAGAAGGAGAATAATTTCCAGGTAACTACATCCAGTCGTTGTTTGATTTGAACACAGAAAATAACCATCTGATAAACAGAGATATCTCAGCAAAGAGCGTGAGGTGCTCATGCAATGTGGGATCCTGCCATGTGAAAGGAAGAATTTCAGGCTGCTTAGACAAATAAATATCCTGGAGGAATGAGCAGGGTCAGTCCAGATAAGACAGACTTTTCAGCTGAAACCCCTCAATGGACAGCCAGCATAGGAAGCTCACTGAAGTACTACTATGAGCTTTGTTGCTTCTGTCTTCCTGCCTTCAGAAAGGTGTTGATAAGAAGAACTTGAAACTCTCATGGAAGTGGATTTATCTTCTCCATCTAACACCAGAAGTATTGCCACCACAAGTGCTCATTGACTGCAGGGTGAGGCGGTGGGAAGAAAAATAAGGTCTACACTAGCAATACCTAGGAGGACTTCTTCCAATCTGTGGTAAGCAGGTTTCTAGTGATGAGCAAAGACTTTGGTTTGATGGAAATTCTCTCTGCAATGTCTATTTCAAAACTTTCTTTTTTTTCTAGTCAGTAGAAGAGTCAGGACAAGCAATAAGCAAAAAGAGAAGAGGTGATCAGGACAAGAGGTAATAGGCACAAACTTGAATATAAGAAGTTCCATCCAAACATGAGGAGGAACTTCTTTACTTTGAGGGTGGCAGAACACTGGAACAGGCTGCCCAGAGAGGTGGTGGAGTCTCCTTCTCTGGAGACATTCAAAATCTTCCTGGACACGTTCCTGTGCAACCTGCTCTGGGAGGACCAGCTTTGGCAGGGGGGTGGTCCTGGATGATCTCCAGAAGTCCCTTCCAACCCTGTATCATTCTGTGATTCTGTGACTAACATCACACCTGGTGAGGGAAGGGTCACCTACACACTCTGTTGTGATCGCTCAGTGAACAACAATGTTCTTTGCACCAGCACTTGGTGGATGAGCCCTGATGTGTCTGGTGGCACCCTGAGGATGCTGGATGTCACTCAACTCCCATGCTGCCTACAGGGCAGAACAGATGCGGAGGCTTGAAATGGTGTCAACCTTGGGCTATTTTGGCTCTCGGTCAATTTTGACTTCCTTTTACTGTTGCCAGGAGGTGGGAGCCCTCTGACAGCTGGAATTTGCACAAAGTGTTTATGCAATGTTTAATAGCAAGTCAGAAGGTCCGTTACAAAAGCACCAGCTATTTTGTCACGAGTGCATGCTTTATTTACTGAGGTTATCCAGTTACGGAATATTCAGGAAAATTTTTAATGACCCTCTGGACTCAGATCAACTAGGCTTAAGGTTTTTCCTGAGAAGGGATCTGTTATAACAAGTACACAAATGTTATTTCTTTCATATGATAGGCTCTGGCAGATACATTTGTATTTGTGAAATAAATTTTCAGGGCTGTTTGACTGACTTGTAGCATTCCATCATTGGAAGAAACTCAACAGAACAGAGCAGGGAAATGAGAAAGAAATGACAATTGAAGAAGAAATTGCCACTTTACAGGTGCAAGTGTCATGTAGGGGAGTGAGAGTTTCTGTTTCTTCTCGGGGTGAGATGCAGTCAGTCAGCCAGTGTGTCTACCCAAACTGTCCAAAGCAATCGGGCAGGCCAACATCAGGCTAATTACTCTTGGATTATAACCATGGGCATTAGATGTCAACGAATGTCCTGTTTCTAGTACAACTGGGTTCTGCCTTCTGCAGTGTGTGGGTCTTATCTGGTTACAGCCTCCGTGACGTTGTTCCTTCTGGTGATCTTGCAAACATCAAGAAACTGTGCTATAACTAGCACAGTCTGATGCTGCCATCTTTCAGGTGATGACCATCTTCTGAATTAGTAAAGACCTAGAAATGGGGGTTTAGCATCTCCAGGGCTGTTGGCAACTGCTGACAAGAAGTAGTGTAAAGAACAGGGGCCTGTTTTGCTCATGAAAAAAATAAATTCTTTTCATAATTTTATTTCCAAATCCCCAGGGGAAAAAATAGTGTTTAACTGAGTGAGTTTTTTCTTTCTGAAATGTTAGAGCTGGAAAAAGACTAAATAATCCATTTTGATCTGGTTCTGTCTTTGAAGATAAATATGTGGAAAAGCCTCAGACAGGAGGTTAATTGAGGTAATGTGAATCAATATGTACAAAGATGGTTAGATGAGATTAGCTGGTGTGTACAAACAGAAGCTCTCTCAGGAAAACATGGTGCAGCCATATCACCTCCCACCTCTTCATGCACTGCAGTCATGCTCTCAACTATCACTATCTTTATACAGCTTCAGAATATTTATAAGACAAATGCAAGGCTTCTTGTTACATTGGATTTCTTGTAGTACTGAGATAAATACGTTTTGTTTAAAGTTTAATAGAAACAAGGAATGCAAAAATCTGATTTGTTTTGAGTATTTTGATGATATGAAAAAGAACAGCTTCAGAACATGAAATGTGCTCACCAGCGTCTAATACCTTTTCTACAGTGATTCTCTTTTTCAAACCTTGCCTGCAGTGGAACCCTCCCATACTCTCAGAACTGTTTTTTACATTTAAAATTCAGAGGCAGAGGATGAAAAATATATTTTTATTCCTGGTAAAGCTAATTAAAATGTAATTTTCACAGATATCAGCTAACTGATGAAAAACATCACCTTCTCCAACTGCAAACATGGCTCAGAAGACAGGCATACATAAGATCACGATGAAAATGTCCTGTAAGTGATATTTGTTTTCCTCACAACAGCAACAGAGACTGTGAGGATCTGGAGTATTCCAACTTACAGTGCAGCAGCCCTGTTGTTTTAAAGTTGTTCCCCCTGAGATGCAAAATGGTACCCAATAATGAGGATGTACGGTTGGCACAGTTGGCGCTTCAGAGGGCATATGAATGAAAGGGAAAGTTCAGAGGAGGGTCTCCTTCAAGGAAAAGGAATGAATGTCTTGTTTCAATACACACTCTCAGGAGAAAGGGCAGAACAGGGAATATTTTCCTTCTAGTGCCAAGTAAAATAGCTAACGTAAGAAAAGCTGAGCTTTATGGCATGCCACAGAGGGTCAGCACTGATTACTGCCTAGGCTGAAGCAGAGACTGAATGCTTCTGAAGAGGGGAAGGATGGAGGAGAAAAGCCAGGGGGAGAAGCCACAGTGAGGTATTGGAGAACATTGGTATATCCAACCCAGCTTCAAACCGACCTACCTGCCAAGCTTAAACAACCCTTCTGTTCTGAAGACCTGAAGCTCTGAACATCCCACAGTCACCACAGAGGCTCTGCAGTGCTTATCTTTGAGCAGGATAGCAGAAGCTGAGCACAGCTTCATGGTCTATATGTCTCTTTGGAGAAACCAGCACTTGGGAGTGTTTCTGAGAGATATGCTTTCAACAAACACACATTACCAAATGAAAACTGAAATAAGAATGTGAAAGCTGAGGGTCTGTATCATTTACTCCAGGTTAGGCGATCTAATAGGTTGATCCGTGACTCATCAATTAGTCCACACGCTTCTGGTCCACTTCAGCCCTCCCCCAATAAATAAAAAATAAAAGAACACCATTTTGTTTTAGAACTACTGGAAACCTTCATTAAGGTGTAATGTTGTGAATTATTTTGGCCAAAGAATTAAGAAGGCAGCTATAGTGAAAAAGTAATTTAAACATTTTTAAAACCAACTGGTGCTGAGTAGAACTCTAGGAACGTGATACGGCACACATTTTATAGGGTTTGGGGATGATGTTAAATGAAATAGCAGGGCTGAGGTCCAGGTCTGAGATAGAAACTCCAGGGGGACGGTGGAAGGTGAACCTCTGCAGGAGGCTGGTGAAGAAGAGGAAGAGCTCCATCTTGGCAAGAGTCTCACCGGCGCAGACCCTCCGCCCTGAAATGAAATGCAGAACAGCCATAAGAGAGTCAGCAGGAGCTGGTTCTTCAATAGTTGGAAGAAATAAAAAACACTGAGCAGCTCTTATTCTGAGGAAGACGAGTAGAAAACTTGAAATGTCATATCCTAGCTATGCATAAAGAGTCTATTTAGAACAAGAAACATCTGAGAGAGAGGATACATGGTCTTCAGGGCTATGACGACTAGCCACCTGGTGATTTTTTTTCCTTTTCCTTTTTCTAAATGCTTACATTTGATGAGAAATGTATGGAAATACAATCTGAATTCCAGTTTTCAATATAATTTGTATTCTTCTTTGCTTTTAGATTTTTCTTCTACTTGGTTAAATTTGTGGATCCTAGAACATCTCTGGCTCTTTAGTCTAGACTTTGGCTCTATTAGTCTAGTCACAGGCAATTTTTTATATTAATCTTTTTCAGAAAAGACCTTGGAGACTCACAAATGCTGTCCAGAGTGGCACTGAGCAAGAAGGTGGAGTTATTCTATGTAGCCCTAATATAAGCCTTTCTTCAAAAGTGCTGTGAATGTAAATTTTTCTCAATTCTGGTTAAATTCAGCAGCTTATAAACTGCCTGAATCAGAGCATAGTGATTCAAAGCCAGAACTAGCAAAGACTTGAAAAAAGATTTGATTTTAACCCCCTTGTATGATTGAAAGAAAATGGAAGAAAGTTTTCATGGCTGTGCTATGAAATAAGCCCTCCAGTGAATGCCCAGATCTGGGACTCCATGGATGTGCTTTCAGTTAGGACATCTAGACTTAAATCTGAAAAAGAAGGCTTGTGAATTGGAAGTATCATAAGCCCTTTTATGAAAAAAAAATAAAAGCTTAATTACTATATGCTGAATGGTGAACATGACAAGGAAAAAAATCTTACTCAAATATCATGCAGAATTAAAAATACACAAATAGGGTCTCTAAAAATGCAGTGTTGTGGATGTGATAGACAAATTAGCCAGAGACTGATGTATAGGATCTTAAGTGAGCAATAACAGAATGTGAAAAGCAGGGGAAATGCCAGAGAAGGAGCAATCATCCTGGGGGTCAAGATCTCCCATGATTTATGGGTGCAGGTGTCACACTCTGTGGATGCCTCAAAAGGCAACCCCTTTCTGTCCTTTGATTTTACACAGAATTTGAGGTTTTTATATAAGGCAACTCCTCCTTGTTGGCACAGTATATGAAGTCTTGATCCCAGATGATGTTATCCATGACTTTTCAAAAGAAATGTGTGAAAATGGAACATGGTTCCCCAGGAAACACACAGAGGCCACCATTTCTGTGTGCTTTGTGTGTGGTCATAGACCACAATGCAGCTGTGTATGGTATGAGTCAGAAACAGAGAAGCCCAGGCCACGGAGCAGTTGTGGGCTACAGACCATAATGCAGAAATTTGTTGTCTAAACCATCACGGAATTTGCTGAAAACCTCCCTCCTATTTAAGAAGGGATTAAAACATCTCGTTCATAATTGTTGAATACTGAGAAACTAATAATACCCAGTGGCTGGAGGAATTAGTAGACGTTTGTGAGTACTCTCCCTTATCAGAGAAATCTGTGAAATACGGGTTGTGAAATGGTCCCATGAAGAGGACGGTGTGGAGGCCAGGCTTCAGAAATAGAAAAACACTGGTACAGTTAGTGCTTTTCTAAGATCTGTACTTGCAACAGCAGTAAATGGAAAAGAGAAGGCACCTGCTGAAAACGGCATGAAAGCATCTTTCTTCACAAATTTTCCATTGGCGTCAAGAAAGTGCTCAGGATAGAACATGTCTGGTTTCTCCCACTGGGATTTGTCATGCAGGACAGAGGTCAGTAAGGGGATGATGTAGGTTCCCTGCAAAATAAGACAGTGGAATTAATCCGTGGACAAATGCTGTGGTGGCAATAAGATTTCAAGATGGTTAGCCCAGAGAAAGAGGTTATTTTGACTGCTGTTATGTGACTTCATTAGAGAGTTCATGTTTATCACATTAACCAGGTTCAAGGAAGAAGAAATGCTAAAAGAAGCAATCCAGCAGTCATCTCACCTTGGGAATGAAATAGCCTTTGAGAGTGACATCTGCAGCAGTCTCATGAGGCAAGTCCAATGGCAGGATATTAGCGAACCTCTGAACTTCATGGATGACAGCATCCGTATATGGCATCTGAGTTCGGTGCTCAATCCGGGGGGGGTTTGACCCTATCACTCGCTCTATCTCCTCTTGGACCTTTCCTGGGGAAAAAATCAACTATAAGAAAGATACATCCTTTACATGAGACACTCTGTGGTTTACTGATGTAAAGCACAAAAGACCTTGAGTGAAACCCATAAATTCTCCCTGAACTTTTTTAGTGGACATAACTACAGTGTTTGATTATCTCTTTACCAATAAGAAACCTAAAGACTTGTATTTTTATATAAGCCTTTCTTCAAAAGTGCTGTGAATGTAAATTTTTCTCAATCCTGGTTAAATTCAGCAGCTTATAAACTGCCTGAATCAGAGCATGGTGATTCAAAGCCAGAACTAGCAAAGACTTGAAAAGATTTGATTTTAAGCCTCTTGTATGATTGAAAGAAAATGGAAGAAAGTTTTCATGCAACAACAGTAAATGGAAAAGAGAAGGCACCTGCTGAAAACGGCATGAAAGCATCTTTCTTCACAAATTTTCCATTGGCGTCAAGAAAGTGCTCAGGATAGAACATGTCTGGTTTCTCCCACTGGGATTTGTCATGCAGGACAGAGGTCAGTAAGGGGATGATGTAGGTTCCCTGCAAAATAAGACAGTGGAATTAATCTGTGGACAAATGCTGTGGTGGCAATAAGATTTCAAGATGGTTAGCCCAGAGAAAGAGGTTATTTTGACTGCTGTTATGTGACTTCATTAGAGAGTTCATGTTTATCACATTAACCAGGTTCAAGGAAGAAGAAATGCTAAAAGAAACAATCTTGCAGTCATCTCACCTTGGGAATGAAATAGCCTTTGAGAGTGACATCTGCAGCAGTCTCATGAGGCAAATCCAATGGCAGGATATTAGCGAACCTCTGAACTTCATGGATGACAGCATCCGTATATGGCATCTGAGTTCGGTGCTCAATCCGGGGGGGGTTTGACCCTATCACTCGCTCTATCTCCTCTTGGACCTTTCCTGGGGAAAAAATCAACTATAAGAAAGATACATCCTTTACATGAGACACTCTGTGGTTTACTGATGTAAAGCACAAAAGACCTTGAGTGAAACCCATACATTCTCCCTAAACTTTTTTAGTGGACATAACTAGAATGTTTGATTATCTCTTTACCAATAAGAAACCTAAAGACTTGTATTTTTTTGCTCTCTCCTCTGCCTAAAGTTTCTTACTCTGGCCAAGAGGTGTCTCAAAAACCCCACTTGACTCCTAACAACCTTGTACCAAAAACTGGAACGGACACGTCAAAGAACAATTCCCTGAATCTTATTTAAAGCCTCAGTACAGACCATTTAAGATCTGAACAGGGTCTTTGGTTTATCAACAGCCTGTTTCTAAGGGAAACCTGGAACAATTTCATTGGCCAACACAGGACAGCTCTCTTTTTAATTAATGAGATTTTATGAGCTGAAAACCTGGCACATAAACACTCTGTTTATAATACACCGGTAGGCCAATTAGCGTGCCTTTCACTGCGTCTGAACCACAGGGCACAGCAATACCTAGACAATAATTAACTGGAAATCTTGGCTTTTTTTAACGATGTATTAATAGATATGTTGACCCTCCATGTTCCTGTTTGGTTCCTAATGCACTGACTGTGACAGCATCTGCCATAAAAACACTTACTCTGAACTTCAGGGTACTTCAGCATCAGCAGAAAGCTCCAGTTTAGTGTGGTGGAAATCGTCTCAACACCAGCAGTGAACAAATTGCTTACCAAGCTTAGCAAGTTTTCGTTATGGAAATACCCATTGGTAGTGGATTTCTCCTGAAAGGAGTGGTTGAGAAAAAAGGATCAAAACTTAAAGCTTCCATGTGAAAATGCAATTTATGTAGATAAAAGTTTACTAATAATCAAATCCTATATTTTTAAAAAAATGTGAAAGACAAAGAAAAGCTTTGGGCTTGTACCTGGAGAAGAGTGTTGACACACGTTTACATGATCTCTGCATTTACTAGGGCTAGCTGCAAAGAGAGCTGGTTTCTCTATGAAGAAGGTAACCCAGACATAGCAGAGACCCCAGATAAAGATCCCAGTAAAGCCCAGGTAGCATTTTTGTTCTGTAATGCATTATGTTTTTGAAAGAGCCAGAAGGTCCAGGACAACAGAGAGAGCAGATGAAAAGATGCAGCCTCTGTAAATATATTGTTATAGTCTGAAGAAAAGCGTCAATAAAGGTAAATGTTTACTGATTAAAAGGTTTGGAACTGCAACAGAGTCAAATATCTATTTGACTCTACAGGTTTGTTATATGTGTTTTGTCAAAGATACATTCCCTAAAGAAATGTAACTATAATTATAAGGACTGAAAGGAAGTTGCGAATGTCTTCATATAACCATAAATTTGGAACAAATGAGAAAAGATGAGTTACCTCCTGCTGTTTAACCAGGAAAGCATCAATAAAACTTCTTTGATCATTTTTGTCCAGGGTTTTGAGGTTTTCGACAAAAGTAGTTTGTATATAATCATTGAATTCATGTCTGTTTTTGAGAAGAGCCTTGTTAGCCCTTAGGAGGAATCCAAGGTATGGGAAGATGTTGTACATCTAGAAGAGTGAAAGATGTTAGAGAGAATTTTCTGGCCCGAGGTCTGAAAACACTATAGGAACAAATTAATAATATTGTATTGGGGTACAAACCCAGAGACTTAGCATTAACACTTTGTTCTTTAGAATATGAAAAAAATGACTGGACAAATTAATGATAGAAAATTCATGAAGGACCACAGAATAAAAGGAAACCTCTCAGCCCCTAATTACTATTTTGAAGGGCAGTGCAGATATCAAACACCTGCAACTTGCCACAAGGGAGATGTAAATGTTGGCCACAACTTTTTTTTATTGTTTTAAAAAGCTCTTCCACTATTTTTTTTTCTGTTTCAAAGTCTAAAGGAACAGAAATGAATCTGGTTTGCAGCAGCATTGCATGTGAGTATCAGAGAGTATTTATTGTTCATTGAGAGGTTTCGGTGTATTAGAAGCACGGAAAAACAGATTTTCTGTCAGGGCTATGCTGTCCAGGTAGACCACATACTCTATGGCTTCTCTCTGCCTCACGTTCTGCACTGTTTTGCCTGGTCACTTTATACATATGAACCATATTTTCCTGTTCATGCACTATGTGGTTTGGGGTTTTTTTAGACCAGATTTAGGACCCTTCAAACAATAGCTTAAGTATGTTTTTGACAGACTGGGGGTTAACAGTTAAAAACTGTTGGCTTCAAGATTCCCAAACTGTCTTTTAAGCTTTGTTGTGCCCCAGAAAGTGCTTGTAAACCTATTATCTCTCAAGGCTTCAGATTTTTCTGTTTAATAGAAACAATTGACTACCAGTATTACTGTGTTCCCTTGGCATCCAGTGGAACAGCAACATAAAAATTTTTATCATTACCGTAACCAGAGGTTTCCCAGCAAGTCTCATGTTTTCATTGGTCAGTTGTAGAAGCCTCACAAATCTGGAGTCTTTGTAGTCAAATCGTTTTCCAAGTAGTATTGAAACAATTATGTTAGCAACTGCTGCATTAATCATTTTACTAGCATCAAAGGGCTTTCCTATACAATGAATAAAAAAATATATTACATTGTGGCAAGAGATGTAATTTGTAAATGTAAATTTAATGCTATGTATTGCTGTTTATTTGTCATGATTGATTGCTAATATTGATTATTATTCAATGTTAGAATACCATGCCAAGACACAAAAACACCAGAGGAGCCAAATTCATCAAATTGATTCAGACTGAAGTACATTTCTTACAGAAGTCTGAACTCGAGAAGGTTACTGGCAAGCCTTTGGGTACTTGAACAAAAACTCAAAGGTCTGAAGAATGAATCATCTACCCACCTTCTTGTGACCCAATGGTGTCGACCAGATACCCATATTCCTCCACAATACGGTCCTCAATGGCCCTTTTCCCCATTCCAAAGTCTCGTAGGGTTGTGAGAGTAAATCTTCGCATCACCTTCCAGTTTTCACCATGAGCAAAAACAATCCCTGATACAAAGAGAACATTTCAAGGTGGCAGAAGATTTGTAATAACTAATTTGTAGACAAATAACGTAGATATTTAGTAGCTGTCACTTTTAAAGCAAGTTAGTTACATCTGGCTGAGGAAAAAACAACCTTCCCTTAAGTATTTTGAGATGTCAAGAATAGGTTTATGACACACACACACAAAAAAAGGATGAACGAACAATTTAAGAGTTATTAATCATAGAAGAATATACTTCTCTGAGAGACACTTGTGACTGAAAGAAAGAGGGGATTGGAAACTCAAGTTCAAACCGCTGATTGTCATACTTTGGAAGTGGAATTAACTGAGATCTCATGTCTCTGATGATTGCAGGAGAAACGTGCAGCCTCCTCAATCATTTTTTTCACTTAAATTGTTACACCATGTAACTAACGACTTCAGTTATATTTTTTCAAGAAATTAAGGTATAAAGAAAGCTTACATGCAATAATATGATCAAAAGATGCACACAGAATTATTCTTGAATTTGTCCAAGTCAAGCTGATGAGGAGAAATAAAACCATCTTACCATTTCCTCTGGTCAAATCTTCAAAAATTGGGATTTTAGGTCTCTCTGAAAATGCATCTCCCTTGTTTACAAGAGCTTCCTTCACTGTCTCATACCCAGAAATCACTACTATTTTCCTTTGCCCCATCTGAACACTGAAGACTGGACCATATATTTTTGACAGCTGTCAGAAGAAGATAACAGTGATTTACAGCTTTTACAGTTTACAAAGAAACTCAACTCCTCCATTAGAATGGATTCACTGAATTATAGCAGAGACACATTGGGTCTGTTGGCCTGAAAAAAGAGGCAGCCTGCTTTTGCCAACACAATTAGGCTGCACTGGGCAGCTACAGTGATTTGCCAGATACTGCATCTGGTCTGTCTTTTGATTTGTGGATGTAACATACGTAGAGATATGTAGGTGAAATTAACCCTTTTAAAATCATCAACAAGGAGGACATGTAATTTCAATGCCTAAGCAGAAAAATCTCTAAGAAAGGACCACGTTCATAGAAGTCTTCTGACTCAAAACTAGGGAAGTCTTACAATAAACTATGTAAAGAAAGCACTAGAAAAAATCCAAAAGATTTGTTACCTTGATTTGCTTAGATCTTTGTTGTTTATTCTGGCAACTGTGGGCTCTGAATATTAAGAGTATATAGTTATCTTCAGCTTTTGGAGAAAAGAAAGGAGGAAAGGGAGAGGAGAAGGGCTGCTAAATCAGTGAAGGTGGAAGGCTGCAGTCACAACCCCAGACACATCGATCAGTGGAAGGTGGAGGGAGGTAGACCACATATCAAAAATCACTCCTTATTCAGTTACATTTTTCTCAAAATTAAAATGCAAAAAATAAGATAAGCTCTTGCTATTAATACTACTTATTATTTTGAGAGTTGTTTGATGCTGAAACCTAGACACATGAAGTTGCACAGAGAAAGTATTATGATAAAGAACAAATCTCACTGCATTCAAAGTTTTCTGCTCAAATAACAGTCTCCTGTCCCTTGCTACGGGTCGTCTGGGGATGCAACATGTCAGTTGCAGTAGGAGAAACTCTCTGACTATGGGGCTTGGTGATATGTGCAATTATGGAACCAATAGAAAAGATAATGGCTACCTGTAGATAAGTTTTGTAGGGTCTCTTCAAATCGAACATATGGAGATTTCCAATGATAGGTAGTGCTCTTGGTCCTGGAGGAAACTTCTTTCTCCGGTGGTTATTCCAGAAAATTCCCACTTTCAAAATGGATAGAAAAGACAGGATGAACACTAAACCAATGGAAGTGCAGCTGCTCCACTCCATCTCTATTCAGCCAAGTATTTGCTACGGATGAGAAAAAAGAAAATGTGGAATCTGAATCTCTGTCCTCCAGCAAAAACTTCCTGAGATGTTTGTACTACTCCATAAACCTCTTTCCCAGTGACGGGTATGTTTTTCTTGCAATTGGTGGCTGGTTTTGTTGTCTTCCCTTGTACTTGCTAATGAATCCTCAGTTCACTACAGAGACAAGTAATGTTTGCTAGCCAAATGTGTGTGATTGGATGAGCATGTAGCTCACTGTCCAAGTATGAAAGTCCAAGAACACGGAAAACCACAAGGTTTCAAGGAGGTCATCAACCTGGTGTTTGCTATAAAAGTTATAAAGTCTGCATTCTATTCAGGTTACTGATTAGATATATTTTCGTCATTAGTACAGGCACAGCCTTGATATTATGAGAACTGAAATCAAAATGCCAATGTCCAAGTGATTAATGCACAGAGATTTCTTTTTTTTTAAAGTGCTTTGGAATTGATATAACTTTGCTTCCATTGAATTAATTGGGAACTTCAAATCACAGAATCACAGAATGATTGAGGTTGAAAAGGACCTCTGGAAGTTATCTTGTCCATCCTCTCTACTCAAGCAGGGCCAGCTGGATCCAGTTGCCCTAGATTATGTCCAGGTGGTTTTTGAATATCCCCAAGGAAGGAAACTCCATGACCTCCCTGCTCAACCTGTGCCAGTGCTCGGTCCCTCTCACGGTAAGAAAGTATTTCCTGATGTTCAGAAGAAATCTCCTGTGTTTCACTTTGTGCCCATGGCCTCTGGTCCTGGTATTGAACACCACTGAAAAAAGCCTGGCTCTGTCTTCCTCCTACCCTTTGTCCAGGAGTTTATACATATATTAATAAAATCCCCCTGAGCTTTCTGTCCTCTAGGCTAAACAGTCCCAACTCTTTCAGTGTTTCCTTGTATAAGAAATGCTCCGGTCCCTTCGGCAGCTTTGTGGTCTTTTGCTGGACTCCCTCCAGTATGCCCATATCTTTTTTTATACTGGTGATATCAGAACTGGACGCAGCACTCCAGGTGTGGGCTCACTAGTGCTGAGCTGAGGAGAAGGATCACCTCCCTCAACCTGCTGGCCACACTCCTCCTAATGCAGTCCAGAGTACAAATAGCCTTCTTTGAAGCAATGGCACATGGTTGCCTCATGCTCAACTTGGTGTGGACCAGGACCCCCAGGCCTTTTTCTGTCAATCTGCTTTCCAGGTGAGTGGCCCCCAGCATATATTGGTGCCTGAGGTTGTTCTTCCCCAGGTGCAGTACTCTGCATTTCTCCTTGTTGAACTTCATGAGGTTCCTGTCAGTCCATTTCTCCATTCTGTTGAGGTGCCTCTAGATGGTAGCACAGCCTTCTGGTGTATCAACCACCCTTTCCAGTTTGGTGTCATCAGCAAACTTGCCGTATCATCTACATTGTTTATGAAGACTTTTAGCAGGACTGGACCCAGTATTAACCTCTGGGTTAGCCTGCTAGTTACTGGACTCAAACTGGACTTCCCACCACTGATCACTAGCTTCTAGGCCTGGATTTTCAGCAAATTTTCAACCCACCTCACTGCCTGCTCATCCAGCCCATATATCAACAACTCGTCTATGAGAATCTCATGGTAGATAGTGTCAAAAGCCCTACTAAAATCTAAGAAGACTTCTTGTGACTTATTATCTTATACTAAGACAATTTATTCTCATGACTAAAAAGCTACAGCAGGGATGTATGAGAAATAAGTTTGAGAGGCCTAAGAGGTGCCACAGAAGTACTGGTTTGCTCAGTTCCTGCTGGGACCACAGCACTAGTTGTGTGTTCCAGTCAAGGATGCATCCCCAGAAGCCATTTCAGTGTGAAAGTTTGATTTGAAATGGAGAATTACTTTTTATTCTGCTGTGCTTTTATTTTTATCATTAATATACACATTATTCTGTAGTAAAATAAATTAATTTTAACTTCCAGACAGCATATAACCTGAGAGCCCTCTATGCATCTGCATTGCTGTTCTGCATTGGGTGAACGTCTGATGTTTCCTTATCTCAGGTTGAGCTATTAAGTGATATTTAGAGAACTGGTGTGGGGATAAATTGTGTAATGGACCATTTTCCATTGGCAGTTTGCATGTAACTGTGCTGAAGGCGTGGAAGGTGAAAGCTCTTGGGTTTTTGTGTGTGAGTGTGTATAGATCAATGCAGTACCTTTTGAATTTTGACCCAGAGACTGGCTCTGACCTCTTTCATCAAGTGGAACATGCAGAGGTGATAGGGAAGGACAGAATGAAATCGAATTTGTTGTTCATGTCCCTTGTGGGATTAATCCTCACAATGACCACCACCTTCCTTTTCCAGGAGTCGCTGAAAGTGAGGACTTCCCCCTGCTGTAGTGGTGGGAGAGATGCCTCTGGCTACAAGCCAAGGTGCCAATCCCTACTAGATTCAGAAGTACCAAACTTCCCACATGGAACTAGAGACAGAGATAGTTCATTTGGGTGTTTCAGGAAAAGGAGATGACTCAGAAAAGCCCTAGGAGCGTGGCACTGCGCAAATCTCATGAGTCACTGGGGGGACGGTGACCCCAATAGAGGGAGACAGGTCCAGGTCTGAGATGGAAACTCCGGGGGGAGGGTGGAAGGTGAACCTCTGCAGGAGGCTGGTGAAGAAGAGGAAGAGCTCCATCTTGGCAAGAGTCTCTCCAGCACAGGTCCTCCGCCCTGGAACAAAATGCAAAATGACCATAAGAAAGTCAGTGGGAGCTGCTTCTTGAGCTGTTGTCAAAAGAGAGAGAGGAGAGGAGAGGAGAGGAGAGGAGAGGAGAGGAGAGGAGAGGAGAGGGAAAGGAGTCTTAGATGTCCAATTCCCCTCAGAGCCCTAAAACCAAAATGAAATATACCTGCTGAAAAAGGCATAAAAGCATCTTTCTTCACAAATTTTCCATTGGCATCAAGAAAGTGCTCAGGATAGAACATGTCTGGTTTCTCCCACTGGGATTCGTCTCGCAGGACAGAGGCCAGTAAGGGGACAATGTAGGTTCCCTGCAAGCCAAGGCAGAGCAGTTATTGAACTGAGGATGGTGTTGCTGTCACAACAACCAGAGTGCTGGTGACTTTTGGAGCTCAAAAACCCCAATTTAATAGGAGAGGTCCTGCCAAAGTGGCTGTGAGAACTCCTGGGGTAAGCAAACATCCTTGAACACAAGCAGGACTTGAAAGGGAGAAGTGTTCACTGGGGACAGAGGGAAGAAAAGTAATGCAGAAGTTGTCTCACCTTGGGAATGAAATAGCCTTTGAAGGTCACATCTGCAGTAGTTGCATGAGGCAAGTTCACTGGCAGGATATTAGCAAATCTTTGAATTTCATGGACAACAGCATCTGTATATGGCATTTGAGTTCGATGCTCAATTCGGGGAGGGTTTGACCCTATCACTTGCTCTATCTCATCTTGGACTTTTTCTGTGAAAGAAATAAAGACCATACATTGATAGATCACTTGAATGTCTCTTTTTGCTGCGAGAACAAGGGAAATGTGGAGACTTCAAGTTTTTTTTCAGCCCTGCTCAATAAGAAGTCACATTTGAGGTTACTTGATGAGAAGGAAGCTGCTGATTGCCTAGTTTCCACTTACTCTGAATTTCAGGGTATTTCATCATGAGCAGAAGACCCCAGCGCAAAGTGGTGGACGTGGTCTCCATGCCAGCTGCAAACAGACTTCTCACAAGTGCAGTTAAATTTTCATTATGGAAATATCCATTGGCCTTTCCATTCTCCTAAAGATATGAAACAATAATAACATCAGCTAATTAAAGATTCTGTAAGGCATGTTCTCATGGGAGATCAGGGAAAAGCCTTCATATGCAGCCCTCAGGGGCAGTTAAGTGTAGAGTGGGATGCCTTGAGAAACCTGTTCTATGCTGAGTTTTGAGATAAGAGTATTTGGACTGCCTGTGCTGCCCACAAGAACACATACTCAAGCCAACATGGGTCTTCAGCTACGATAATGTCAGTGATAACAAGAATATTCTGGAAAAGAGTGGCCAGTCACTGGGGCCTCCCACGTGATTCAATCATTTGTTTCAGAGTTTTTCTGTCCATGGGTCATGGAACAGAGCATCTTGCAGGATGAGATTTGTTGGGAAGAACAATAAATTTTCTGCCAGAGCCGGGTTTTGACATGAACTCAAGAGGTAGTAGAGACTTGGCCCATGATGATATTGCCTTTACCTGCCACTAGCATCAAAAGAGAGCCAAGAAAGGTAGTTCATATTCCCCTGTAATCCAGCAGCCACCTCATGCTTTTGCCATAGCAGAACTGTGGTCATAGAATCATAGAATGGTTAGAGTTGGAAAGGACCTTAAAGATCACCAAATTCCACCCCCCCCCTGCCCTGGGCAGGGACACCTCCCACCAGACCAGGTTGCTCAAAGCCCCATCCAGCCTGGTCTTGAACACTTCCAGGGATGGAGCATCCACAGCTTCCCTGGGGAACCTGTTCCAGCACCTCACCACCCTCACAGGAAAGAATTTCTTCCTGGTATCTAATCTAAATCTCCCCTCTTCCAATTTAAAACCGTTACCCCTTGTCCTGTCACTACACTTCCTGACAGAGTCCTTCCCCATCTCTCCTGTAGCTCCCTTCAGATATTGGAAGGTCTCCCTGGAGTCTTCTCTTCTCCAGCCTGAACAACCCCAGCTCTCTCAGCCTGTCTTTGTAGGGGAGGTGCTCCATCCCTCTGATCATCTTCGTGGCCCTCTGCTGGACCCATTCCAACAGGTCCACGTCTTTTCTAAGTTGGGGACTCCAGGGCTGGACACAGTACTCCAGGTGAGGTCTCATGAGTGGTGGTGACCCCCCTTGTGAGGAGTCAAACCTCACAAGGCCATAGTACATAGAGGTGAGGGCTGGGTACAAACACTGTGACATTTTCACAAGAACTGTAAGACTAGAGTTTTGTTGAAGCAGGTAAATGTGAGCTTGCAACTACAACTAAGAAATATGTACTAAAGATTCCTGGGCCTAGAGCTTTCACTGGGTATATCTCTATGAAGGTGGATGTGAATTTAAGAAAAGAGTTAGAAATGCTGGGGTACAGAAAGAAATTTTAAACTATGGTAAAGACAACTTCTCATACTTTGCTTCCTGAAATAGTGTTTTGTATTTTCCTGATAAATTGCTGGGGACACATGAAAGATATTTACTGCACAGTCTTTTAGTCTGACCACAGTTTTGGGTAGGACTTTTGCAAGTGACAGAACTCTGCTGAAGAACATTTGTTTATCTACCAACCCTTGAAAGGAAAGTAAGGAGATTTGAAGGAGTTGCCAAGATTCTATTACCTCTTGTTGTCTCACAAGGAAAGTGTCAATGAAGCTCCGCTGGTCATTTCTGTCCAGAACTTTAAGATGTTCTATGAAAGTGACCTTGATAAAAGCATTGATTTCTTCTACATTCTGCTTAAAAATTTTGTGGTCCTTCAGGAGGAATCCAAGAACTGGGAACATGTTGTAAATCTGCAAGATACAGAGATAACAATGAAGAAAAAACAGCTGCTAAACGGATGTACCACAGTTCAACAGCATATATTAAGAAAAGCCCTTACAGAAAATGGTGTATGGCCTTATACTCAAGATGCAATGTGTTCCTTTGTCCTACTTCTTCCTGGACAACTGTGTAAAATGGTTGAAATACATTCCCTCTTACACCGAATATTAATCTCACTGGTTGATGAGGGCCTAGAAATCCCACATTTGTGAATATGTCCTTGACACAATTTCCTACCTCTCCACTCCTAGAGAATTCTCCCCTCCCTATCCAGTTGGACTTAGGAGTGTCAAGTTTAAGAGGCAGCTACAGGTATTCCCACACTGATTTTGACCTGGTTTGTAATGGGAGATGGCAATAATCACCACTTCTATGTCTAGGGGAAAAAATCCTTGTATCATATTACATGTTGTTCATTTCTTCATGAAAGGAGGAACTTGTAATTTCCCTTATAATTGCTGCTAAGAGAAATCCATAAATAGTATCAGAGGTCCACTTTCTGCCCTTTCAGAGTGCATTTGTGATGTACAGATAGATGTGTTGCAAAGATCACTGTTGGAGAGGTGTGCCTCTGTATACCACTGTATAATCATGCTTTTGAAGAGCAATATTCAAACTGTATGAATTACCGAAACTGATGGACTTCCAAATAGCCTGATATTTTCATGCACCAGTGTCAGGAGCTTTTTGAATGTCGGGTCTTCGTAGTCATATCGCTTCCCAAGCAGTATGGATACAATGATATTAGCAATAGCGGCATTCATCATCAGAGTTATCTCAAGGGGCTTCCCTAGCATGGGAAAAGGTGGTGCAAACAACAAAGTCAATAGTTATTCTAATTCATTAACATAGTGTGCAGAGGCTGAGTGAAGTCTGGGACATGATAGGTACAGAGCTGGCAGGAGGAAAGGCTCCCCCATCTCAGGCTTTGCGCGTCCCAAGCAGCATTTCGACAGAACAGAGACTGAAGGCAAGTCTTTTGTGCTCCCCTTCCATTTTCTCCAAGGCTATTGTGGCCCTGAGTGTTTGTGGTCCTACCCCAGGCTGCTCTTTTGGGCACACATGATCTTAAAGTTTCCTGGTATAAGAGAATCTCAGCATTGCCATTTCCCCAAATAGTGCCATGGCTTATCACTGGTATTCTTTGAGTTGGCCTGTGTACCTTTAGGCCCTTTAGATCAGTCTCCTAAATGAGAAGCTCCTGGTCTCTCAGTCTCTCCTGCTGGGCTTCTACAGCTGTCTGGTGCATCCCCTTTGCAGCTGGATGCAGCTCCTGCTTTCAGGGGTTCAAGGTCAAGGACTTGAAGCCTGGACTAGAATGGTGATGTAGAAATGTGGTTTTATCCCAAGTCTGCTTGATCGAAAGAGCTACCTATTGAAGTCCTGCTGTCGGTAACTGAGCCTGGTGAGAGATGATCTTGGATGATGCTGGTGAAATGTGCAGCTGGGTGTTCTGCCTCCTCTTGGAAGGGCTTCCCTAGACATGTGACTTTACAAACAATCAATTTTTAGTATGGGTATGCAAGTCCTTGCAACAGTCTTTTGCTCTCCCAATGCCACTAAATCAAAGGCGCTGCACATGGAGGAACAAATTACTCTTCTCAGATGTGCTGTTTGATGTCTGACTCCCTGTTTGACTTCCAGTGCCTCAATGAATGCTTTTAATTTGCATGTCAGGCAATTGCGAGGTAGAGAGACAGAGACAGACAGCTCATATAAACTCCTTGGAACATGGATGCTGGAGAAAGATAGATCTCTGAGAGTTCAGAGATTTTTCTTCCTTGACCCTTGGCATTTTTTTAGGAGGCTTGAGCAAAATCAGTGTGTTATGAAGGTAAGATTTCCCCCACCTTGCTGTGCCTCAATGATGTCCCCCAGGCACCTGTACTCTTCTACAACACGATCCTCTATAGCCTTCTTGCCCATTCCAAAGTCTCGTAAGGTTGTAAGAGTAAATCTTCGCATCACTTTCCAGTTTTCTCCATCAGAAAATATAAGTCCTGAAGTGGAAAATGAAAACACAGAAATAAAAATTTTGTCATAAGAGCAAACATTCTTCATCTACACTGAATCATGGTAAAGGTGAGTGCTCGCAGGAAACCTGTCAAGCTCTAAAGACATGTTTTGTCCCCAAGTAGAATGAAATAAGATAGGAAATATATGTGAGGAGAAAATTCTGAGGGAAGCAGTCACTGTCCTGAGGTACCCTGAGACACGAGGACATTTATTCAGCTTTGATTAGAACAGAGAGTGAGATTTGTGCCTCTGGGACATCACCTGGGATGATGAGTGGGCACATTAACCTAAGATCTTCCCCTTAGGTAAGATGCAGCCTCTTTTAAGAGGACTTGTATTCTCACATAGACTGTAGAGAGTAAAGGAAACCTCAAATATGGACATCTGTTTGGAAAATATCCCCACTTGGAGGTAATCCCTTCCCCCCTACACACTAGAGAAGCTGCAGAGAATTCTCAATGGCATCTGCAGAGAAGTTTCAGTCATGGGTGGTGCTGCTATTTACTCTCCTTGCACCTATCATGATCACTTATTCTTTCTTCAAATCTTATTGAAGAATCTATCCCTAGTGAGGAAAGAAAACATTTGCAGATAGGTTGGCATTTAATGATACATTGCTTACTCCCAGCTGGTCACAAGATACAAACGTGCTCACCTTTGCTTTCCTGCCAGAAGGTGACAATCTCTCATTTCCCTGTTTTCCCAACAATATTTATGGGAATCAAAAGATCAGGTTCAGGGTCTAACATCTGTGGAGAGTGAAAGCTGCACCAGAAGAACTCAGAACAAGAGTGATCTCCCTCTGGGGAAGCACACTAAAGTTTTGGGTTATTGTTTATTCTCTCTTAAAGAGAGAATTAATCTCAAATGTAAATTTAACTGGAAAATTTTAAATGAACATCCAGTAATGTCAATCTCACAAGGAGTATTTGAAGATAGTGCTGCTGATGTAGTAGATACCTCTTTGCCAGCTGCTATTGGGTTTTTGTGGCAAGGTTTTGGTAGCTGGGCAGCAACAAGGGTGGTCTTTGTGAGAAGAGATCAGGAGATACCCCTATGTCAGCTCCTCAACATGTCACCTCAACATGAAGACTCAGCTGCAGATTCAGACCTCTAAATTACATGTTTATGTGTAAATGCTTAGCAAAACAAAGTGAGCCATTCTGCATTCACCTCTCCTCTGCCTTTGCAGCAGGCAGGTATATGGGCAACAGAACAGCACCCTCACCGTTTCCTTTTCCTGTTTCTTCAAGGATTGGTATTTTAGGTCTCCCTGCAAATGCATCCGCCTGGTTCACCAGAGCTTCCTTAACTGTGTCATATCCTGATAGAATCACCATTTTGCTTGGTCCCATTTGAATGCTGAAGACTGGGCCATACGTTTTGGATAGCTAGTGGTATGAAAGGGGACAAAAAAAAAGAAGATTATTTTCAGATTATTTTCAGCAAGTTTAATGTTCTTTTTCCTGCACAACACTGGCTTTTCTTTCCCTGTCCAAAATGTGGAGAGTTTATCATACAAATCTTGGGGCTCTTATGAATAAAAAGACTCACAATGGGGTCTCTTATTCTGTTAGGTATTTTGGTAACAGAATTTTAGAGGGGCTAAAGGAAAGGCTGAAGAGCAGACAGGCTTGACCCTGTGTTCCTTTGAAGAGAAAAACAGAAAGGGAATTTCTCAGTAATCGTGGCAAAAGCTGTTCAGTTCCTGGTACACAAATCCAGGTAGGTAGAAATCAGCTGGAATAATAAGTAACAGCTCTTAAACCTGGAGTTATGCTTTTAGGTGCATCTGGAGTTACTGCCTTTAGTAACAAGGTGCAAGAGGTGCAGCCACAACCAGGCAGGAATAGACATCATGACTCACTTGGGAATGAAATCCAGGAAGGCAGGTTAAGAATGGCTTCATGGCTTCATTTTGGGCTATGAGGTAACTATGTCCACTACATGGACCATGTAGGCAACTTTTGATTGAGAAGCTGAAAGCTCATAGTGGCTATGTTGGAAATGTTTCACAACAGAACAAGACCAGTTCTTAAGGTGGTAGTACATCAGGAACTGTCTGAAGCTCTTAGGTTTGCTGTTCATGGCTCTGAGAAGTAGCACAGTGAGAGGACCTTGAAAATTACACTATCTGACTGTCACACACCATCTGCCCTGAAATCCTGGATTTTACTGCCACTAGATATGAAAGATTAAGGAGTGCTTGTTTGTTTCCTGCTTTCTTTGGGAAATCAGGAAAGTTCCTCCTTCACAGTGAGGATAAAGGGAAGGGATCAAGAAGCTGTTTTCTGCCGGTTCCCTGATGGCTGAGTCCACCAATCAGTCTCCAGAAAGTACTGGTCTCCTCCCTAAAAGTTTCAACAACCCCTGGTGGAAGTTCCTGTGGGAACTGTAGGTGTAGTGCAGTGAGAGGATCCCAAAAATCATACATTATCTGACTGTCATACACAGAAAGTACTGGTCTCCTCCCTAAATATTTCAGCAGCCCCTGGTAGAAGTTCTTGTAGGAACTGTAGGACCCTTGTCTTCTAGTTACCCTGGTCTGGAGAACCTTAGCATTTTTTGGGTTCCACAGAAATGGATTGATTCTTTTGATATGCCTGGAAGTCAATTCCCCTGCACTGACACTGGATTGGATGACAGGAAGACCAGGTAACTAGTTATGTTGCCTTTGCAGTAGAATTGTCTTGTCCAGAGAAAAAATTATACCCCTTTTGGGGGGTCAGTGACTGTCTTAGACAGAGACCCTAAGAAAAGGAACAACAGAAGTTACCTCTAGCATTGTCAGGTGAGGTCTCTTCATATCCATGATGTGCAGATTTCCAATGATGGGTAAAGGCCTGGGTCCTGGCGGGAAGTTTCCTTTTGTGTGGCTCTTCCAAACATGTTGTCTTTTCAGAATCAGCAGGAGAATGAGTATAAACAGTAACCCTGCAGGAAGAATACCGACCCAATCCATTGTCTTTTAGCGAAGATTTAGCTGAGAAGATGAAAATTCAGGCAAAGAGTGCAATGTCCTGTCAGAAGTTAAGAGTTTCAAGCACTAACAGGCACTTCTACACATACAGAGATATGAACTTCAGCTCTAAGAAAAGGTAGAAATGCCCATCTGGGGTTTTCCCCTCTGAAATCCCTACTAGGCCCTCTCACCATCCTGGGCACTCATTTAACTCTATGCTGGTTACTGTTTAATAGGTGATTACTAAACTAGTCCTGTGTGTTGGCAGAGATATCTGTAGGTATAAGTCCAATTTAGAAACAGTAACCCAAATGCTGCCTTGAACTTTGAGGCTGGGGGGAGGTGGGAGAAGAAGGAAGAGGTTCCACTGGTTGCTCAGGCTTTCCCTTCTCTATGGAACATGTTGGAGATGCCAGGTCTTGACAAGAGCAGAAGCTCAGAGGACTAGGGATCTGAGATAGTTGTGAAGATTCCTCTTGGGTAACCTGAATGTGAATGTATGGCCTTGATGTGCTGTGGGTCCTGTAGTAGAAAGCTGCACTGATCAGAAGTAGTCAAGAGAGGAAGAACTTCGTGGCAAGCTCCTCTGAACTAGCTGAATAATTTGTTGTGGCACACACATCTTTTGTTCTAACAGGAGTTCAAGCAGAGCAAAATATAGGGTCAGACTGATCTGGTAAAATTGTGAGGTCTGTATTGATCTATTGATCTAAACCTCAGCTTCCTTTAAAATGAAGAGAGGGCAAGGAGCACCTTCACTTCCAAAAACAGAAGTTGAAACTGGTTAGATAATCCATGCCTTGCATGTTCCTGATTTTCACATGATGGTTGAGGCTGGAAGGGAACTCTGGAGGTCATCTTTGGGGAAACACTGGAAACAGGTTGCCCAGAGAGGTGGTAGATGCACCATCTCTGGAAACATTCAAGGTCAGATTGAACAGGGCTCTGAGCAACCTGATCTAGTTGAAGATGTCCCTGCTTATTGCAGTGGGGTTGGACTAGATGATCTTTAAGGGTCCCTTCCAATGCAAAATATACTATAATTCTATGATCTAGTCCAACACTGCTGTTTGAACAAGGCAACCTATAGCCAGTTTTACAGTAGGGCCTGTATCTTCATCTGTGGCAATTGCCTTTGACATCCAACTGTAACCAATTCAGGAAGGAAGGTGGAGACAAAGGCTTGTATGGTTATCTCTGAATGGGGGGCCAAGTATGAGGGGAAAATTGGGAAAAGATAACCTATGTTGGTTGAAGAAAGAGGGCTGAGATACAGTCTGACTTGCATGTCTTAGAGTCTAAGGAAGTGAGCAGCAGAGAAGGAGTATTAAAAGACGAAGCCACGGAGAAGAAATCATCCAGGGTGAAAGCTGGATTGAGACTGACCAGAGAAAGCTGGATTGCAACTGACCAGAGAAGATGAGCTGCAGCCTTCAGAACAGTGTTTGGAAGAGCTTTCTGATAGAAGTGTAGAGAACTAAATTGTACATGACATTGAGGTAAAATCGCCAAGTATGAGGGGAAAATTGGGAAAAGATAACCTATGTTGGTTGAAGAAAGAGGGCTGAGGTACAGTCTGACTTGCGTGTTTTAGAGTTTAAGGAAGTGAGCAGCAGAGAAGGAGGTATTAAAAGACGAAGCCATGGAGAAGAAATCATCCAGGGTGAAAGCTGGATTGAGACTGACCAGAGAAAGCTGGATTGCAACTGACCAGAGAAGATGAGCTGCAGCCTTCAGAACAGTGTTTGGAAGAGCTTTCTGATAGAAGTGTAGAGAACTAAATTATACATGACGTTGAGGTAAAAACATGAAGGCTTTGTGAGGTGAGGTCCCCAGACTGAGCCCCTTCTCCTTGACTCAAGTATCTGGATTCCTGTAGAGATGTGACCAAAGGCACAGGAGACAAATCAGTCCCTCAGGGCATGGGGGCGCAGAGACCTAGAGGAAAATTGCACGGGCACTTGGCTGGGAGCCTGGAAATGAAGCTAGAGCAATCCTGCTCTTGCACTGGTTTTCCCCAAGTCTGCTGCTGCCCCCAAGGTCTCTGGAGGAAAGACCAGGACATTTCACCTAGATGGAAAGTGTCCTGGAAAAAGTCCAGGGCCTATGTCCCACTGTGTGCCAGTTGATCTGTTTCTACTCCACCTCCCCAAAGGAGGTAAAAAGGCACTGAGAATGTCATTCTTTCCACATGTACCTGGGATTTAACGATTAACAAAGAACGAGTCAGATACTGACTCCTGAGATAGGAAAGAAAGCAGCAATTCAGAGTTGTTACCCAAGAGAAACAGGCCCAGGGTTATGTCCGTGCAGGGTTTCAGAACAAGCACAGCCTTTACCTGTCTGTACAAGACTCTGAGGCTTATTGGAAGGACACTTTGGGAACTAGGGGTGTCTCTTGAAATGCAATGGGAGAAGGAGGCAACCCCTCTCACCCTGGTGCCCTGCTAATTTCCTCCAGAAGGTCTCTGGTTCCTGCAGTGCTGGAAGGTAGCGAGTGAGCTGAGCAGCCTGAGGTTGTCACAGACACGAGGGACAGGCTGCGAGTGTTTCTTCCCCACTTGGGAACATTACTCCTTGGCCTTATTTTGAAGTGGTGATTCAAGATCCTGTTTTGGGCCAATATTTATATCTCCTCCAAGGTCTGACAGGCAATGTCTCTAGACACACCTCTTGAACCAGATGAGTTGTTTCTAAAGTGTTTGTCAAGTTTATGATGGTCAAATACTTTGCTGCTCTATGGTGTTTTACATGATGCTGTCACAGATGGAGTGACGCACCTCATTCAGAGAGAAGCAGCAATATATTTATTCATATGAAACAGGGATTTAATGAAGTTCGATAGCAACTGCGACAGCATTTTAACAAGATTTGATGGCAAGGCAGACTATTATTTACTGTGTAGAGGATAGGGTTAGACAGAACTATCAGGGAGATCTTACCTTTGAGTTGAGGTTTAGAAAGGACCCGCTTGTGTGGCTGGATCCAATTCTATTCCCACGAGAAGCAGCAATATATTTATTCATATGAAACAGGGATTTAATGAAGTTCGATAGCAACTGCGACAGCATTTTAACAAGATTTGATGGCAAGGCAGACTATTATTTACTGTGTAGAGGATAGGGTTAGACAGAACTATCAGGGAGATCTTACCTTTGAGTTGAGGTTTAGAAAGGACCCGCTTGTGTGGCTGGATCCAATTCTATTCCCACACTTGGTGAACGGTTTATGTCTAAAGGCTTATATATGAGCAATTAATCCTTTATATCACTTAGCCAGGATTTCAAAGTTTGGCATGCTGTTAGTCACATCTGTTGCCGTAAGGAATCTCTCAATCTTGAGAAGTAACCTTGAGAGGCATTCCTGCTCAAGGGGAGATCCTGGCGTGCAGCCCACTGTCAAGCAGGAGAGCTCAAAGGGATCTTGGGCTGTTCACTATTTATGGGGATAAGATGACTGACCTGTAGTCATATTTGATACTGACCACAGTACCGGTATTGTGGTTAGGTGGGCACATTGGTCAAGTTAGTCCTTGGCTATTGTGTTTTTATCTGTATTTCTGAAACAACATTGGTGCAACCAGCATGACTAGATGCACCCATTATGACCACCATAGGTGGTTATCACCTGGATAGGGTCATCGGAGGTAGAGATCAGGTTGGCAGTAGAGCACGCTGTCACAGATGCATGAGGAGAACTTGGCCAGGTTCTTTTAGGAACAGGAGAAAATTCTTGAGAGTCTGGGTTACTATGAAAAGATTATACGGAGAACTGGAGAACAAAACTACGTAGTTTATTTTCTTTCTTTCTTTTTTTTTGTTTGTTTTGTTTTGTTTTAAAGAACTAACAATAACTATTGAGGACATAATTTTGAAAGACTTACTCATAGAGAGTGGTACTTTCTTACTCAGGCATTCCTTCGTGATCAACACTCACAATCAGTGTAATTACCTCACAGCTGTAGGTAAATGAAAGATCCTCTGAATGTGCAAGTAGGATTTTGAGGGGTGAGCTTCATGTATTAAGGGTAACATTTTAACAGTCTGTCTATATATGGAATCTTTTTCAAGTACTTCAATACTTTACATTTGCAAATTATGCACAAAATACATCTAAAATCATTATATGTGCAATATTTACATTGTTAAATGCCCTCTCAGTTTTTACAAAAATGATTGTGTGAAAGCTTTGAAAGGATAAAAGATGTCTTCTAGCCAACAAGATAGAAAAGAGTTAGTCATTGCACGTCTGTGAAAGAGCATATCTGAACTGAAGTGTGTTACAACAAATGTATTTTCATTTACAGATAAAACCTGACCTATATAGCAGTATACAGCTGATCTAACATATGGGACATCCCTGTCTAGTATCTTTCTAAAGGTTTTAAAGGAAGAATACATCAGGAGAAATGAAAATATCTGTGCTATTATAAATGTGAAGTGTTTCCCCCTTAAATCTGATAAGACTTGAGATAAGATGCTAACATAAAAAAAAGTCTTGAAAGCTCATCCACTGTAGTTTGTCCTTCTGAAACACCAGTGGTAGCTTTTTGTGTCTGAACAATGCACTTGATCCTTCTGTTAGGTTTTCAACTACCATTCATTGCCTCTCACTGGATTACCCTACATAGGTATACACAGATGTGTGACTCTGGTGCCAGCCGTTGACATCTTATAGATTTCCTTCAGTTACCTCACTTTTTGTCTCACTTTTTTGAGCAGTCATTACAATCACTTCTTGGGTGGAGTTAATTTAACTTACTGTAGGTCCAATTTTCTGCTTGGGTGGAGTTAATTTAACTTACTGTAGGTTCAATTTTCTGCTTTCTCTTGCTTTAGGAGGCAGTGACTTCAAAGGTAATGACTCACCACACAGAAGTTCTCCACTGAGCCCTCTGTAGGTTGAATGTATTTGATTTCCGATCAGTTTCTAACAACTCATGCTTTTTCTTGGAGCTAGCATTTAGTTCAGTTTATACCTATTGACATTAACATTGCTAATATCCACTTATTACTGTTGGATGTAATAAGATGTATTATGTAATTAATCATTTTTCATAGGTCCTACTCAATTCCCTTATTGTGTCCTTGAAACAGCCTAAATAAATCTATGCCAGTAATGAAATTTTTCACCATTTCATTTTTTTCTCCCTTTCAATAAACATATTAACAAAGAATCTCAATACTGATATTGCCACTTAATATACCACATTAATAACTATATTCTGTGCTTTGCCATGAAAGTGATTTCAACATTTTGTTTCTTGTTATAAAATACAGCACATTTTCTCCCCCATTGAAAAATAGGACAACACACTTTTAAAGAAAGTTAATCTGGGATGCTCTGGTGAAAAGCTTGTTAGAATCCAGATAAGGAATATCAGTCCACTTCTTGATTATCCCTATGCAGTTGAAGGTTGTGGCTGTAACTCAGAAATACTGCAGTTAAATATGTTATCCTGTAACAGTCTTGAAACACAGAAGTTGTTTCAATGGCTATACTGATTCAGTGATGACAAAAGGTAAAATACAGATAATTCTGTAGAGCAGTTTGTGGTGTTTTTTCCTGATGAACTTCTAAGTTAATTAAAAGTATCTAATTAACTTACCTGAGCTTGGCGTAATAATTATGTATTCTAAAATCAAGCTTATTTTATATTACAAAAATATAGCTATCTATAGCTCCTTCTTGAAAACCTAGCGTGGTTAGGACAATATTTGAATGTTGGTTTTTAGCATTAGAAACTGAAAAGAGCATCATTAGGACAAATATTACAGATGTATTTTTTTTCTACATGGTGTCTTCAAATCTGCGCTCATCATAGTTGTTGGAGTGAATTTCATGTTGTTTCTCCTCTTCTGGAATCTGCCATGAAAATCAGACAAGAGTTCAGTTATGAGATATAGACTTCCTTTTGCCATGAAAGGAGACTAAAGTGCACTGAGAATGTCTTTCTGTTTGTATATATTGTATGTATATATTAACATTGACCTAGTCTAACATGAACCACCAGTTCTGAATTCTGAGGGACAAATTCAGGGGTTTCTTAATAGAAGAATTCATTAATACTGATGTTAGCTATGATAGTGCAAAATTAATATTTGGGATTTTCAAAGAGCTCTAAAGAAACAAGATGACAATCTCTAATGAAATGTAAATGATGTTGCATGCTAAATATCAATGTCTCTTCCATTACCTGATAAAGCTCACTTAGAATAGAATATTTCTGAACAGTTCTACTGATACTATAGGACCATCAATTGAGCAGAGTTGTCTTATTATCACTGGTCAACACAGGCCATGAATTCTTCAACCACACTTTAAAAATTTCCTTTTCCTGACATTTTTTATCATTTACATGTGACAGCCTATTTCAGGTCTTGCCAAAAATTAGTGGGTTTACTTTCCTGTGGTCAAGTAGCAAAAGACTTGCAAAGCTGCCTTCAAAAGTTATTTTTTTCTGATTGTTATTGCTACAGCTGATCTTTTGGTTTAAAACTTCCTCTTAAACCGCAAACCTTATCTCACCAAAAGCCAAATTGCGTGGTTCATACTGGAGTTGTATCTTACCTCCCAATAAACAGAGTCATCAAAGCAGTTCTGGTCAGATGCTTGTCCCAAGAAGGGCAGCTTTAGGATACCACCTGCAGGAAAAACAGCATCAGAGGTTAAAAAACGAACAAAACTCCCAAATACATGTTCCTCAGATGTGGCTTGGGGAGTCATAGAATTTTCTGACTCATTTTCTAGTTTACAGAAATGCCCAACCATCTTGGGACATCACGTCAGTCATTATGAGAGGTGGTGCAGGTTTCTTCTTGTCAACGTGGATAAGAGCTTGTTTTTAATTGCTCAAACCTTTCCTAGATTTCAGGTTGGAATTTTCTCTTTCAACCTGAATATTGTTTGGAAAGAATCCACAATCATATGGGAATATCTGACACCTAAATGAGTATGTCTTGATCTCAAACTAGTTTCTGTTCAGAAATTTAAGGATTCCATCCAGAACATCTTACTATCATAGAATGGTTAGAGTTGGAAGGGACCTTAGAGATCATCCAGTTCCAACCCCCTGCCATGGGCAGGGACACCTCCCACCAGACCAGGTTGCTCAAAGCCCCATCCAGCCTGGTCTTGAACCCCTCCAGGGATGGGGCAGTCACAGCTTCTCTGGGCAACCTGTTCCAGTGTCTCACCACCCTCACAGGAAAGAATTTCTTTCTGGTATCTAATCTAAATCTCCATCCCTTTGATCATCTTTCTGGCCCTCCGCTGGACCCTATTCTTATATATACAACCTTGAAGCCTTGAAGCATGTTTTCAGTAATATATCTGGGCTTCATTTGAGGACAAAACCCTCTAAAATTCACATATATTTCAGTTGCTATATACATCGTGCTGACCTGTCAATGCTCCGCCCGCCAGTGCAATTCCAAGTGAACTGCCCAGGGCAGCAGCCTGCATGCCAGGAGTTAAACTGACACCGGGCCTGAAAAGCACAGAAAAACAAAACATTGTCAATCAAAAAATTGTCATACTTTGAGACTGATAAGTGGTCTTAGGACATTGTATTTGCTGTCTGCTGGACAAGATGACTCAGAGGAAAATATCCTGCTATTGCTGTGAACGAGACAGAAATCATGATTTTATTTCAGTTTTAGTTTAGACTGGAGATGGAAACTATTTCTTTGAAAAGGTTATTAGCATCTTGTAAGCCTGTAGAGAACTTTCCCCTTTCTCAAAAAGACCAGCATTTCATTTTCTTGGAGTCTATTAAGGTAATGGAACTAGCCTATTTTGGCAATTTTCTTGGAAATATTGCAGTTACCAGTAGTGTAATTGTAGAATTGTAATAAAGATTCATCTACGTTTGAATGGTTCTGTGTGCCTTTTTAAAATTATGTTTTTAATTTATTTATTTTTATTCAAGCTTTTAATTTTGAACAAGCTGGGCATATAAAGAGTGCATTAAAGGCAGGATATCAAGACGACTCCTATTTAAACCAGAACACAATCTCTGACATAAAATTAAAAATGCATTTTCTGAGAAGAAAATCATCATTAGATCCAAGAAAAGCGGAAAATTAGGATAGACCTTCAAAAACTCACCTAACTTCCTCTTTTACTGCAGTTACTATGATGCCAGCGACACCTCCCAGTATTCCAGGCAAACCATGTAAATTATGAACTCCACAAGTGTCTTGAATGTTCAGCTTGGATGCCAGCAAAGGCTGTAATGAGGGGAAATACAAAGTTTATAGTCTTCCATTATCTCTGGGATGATATGCAAAAGAAAGTAGCGCAGAAGTACAAGAAACAATTGAACTTATTTCAAGTACGCAAAGCTTAGCTATAAAACCTTCTGTCTTTCCCTTCACTGGGAAATTGTTTAAATGCAGAGAAGACCAAGTATGAATGTGTAACAGTACAAATGTCTAAGTTACCATGAGAAATATAATGGCATAGAACAGATGACAGTCCTAAATTTGACAGTCCTAAAAGATTTTCCTAATCTTTTCAGCCTTTTTCAGGTTGAAAATGGTGGCTTAGTAACACATACACGCCTGCCCTGAGTCGGCTAGTCAGGTATTTTCTTCCAGAATGTTTCTCCATCAGGAAAAGCCAGTTTGAACAGTTTTAGTCAGAATATTTTATTTCTACATTTTGCACAGGAAACAATTCCATTTTATACCTCAACAGTATTGCTTGACTGCAGACCTATTTAGAAATTTTGAATGACTGAAATGTAATTAGTCCTATTTCACTGGAAAATGGGCTTAAAGCAAAATTATGGCAGTTCCTTCAACAGAAATCCCAACTTTAACACACTCTAATATCTTCATGATCCTTCTTTGTTTTTAGCTAGGTGATGGACTGAAGTTACCTCATAAGCATATACTTAAATCACATTGATTTTAAAATAAGTGTTATCTAGAGCTTACTCTCCATACTGTATCAGCCAGTTTCTAAACCCCCTTTCTAGCAGACTAAGGGAGCTCCAGTAAAGCCAATGAAGCAATAAGTAAATGAGAGCAGAGGTGGGTTCTCAATACCTACAGTCAGGAAGTGGAACCCAAGAACAGAGATGATTCCAGCCAAGCTCCCAATGCACATGGCAACAAAAGGTGGGATAGGCAGGTCAGCACAGGTACCCACTGCTACTCCTCCTGCCAGGGTGGCATTTTGGATGAGAACCTGCAAAGAGTACACAAAGGTAGAGATGATATATGTGGAAGAGAAGCCTGTTTTAGGGCTGAGTGACTTTGAAGGCTTTTTAGCATACAGAAGTTTTCCAATTCTCCAGGTGGGATTTTTTCCAAAGAAGAATGGACAGGAATTTAAAACAGGGTTCCCTGTTACATGTTCAGGATGTTGGTTCAAAACTGCTCTAAGCCAGTTTAGCTGGGGCCAGTTTAATGAATTCCACCTTTTGCCAAGTCAATAAAACTTATCTGACCTCTTGAGAAACCAGGTTGAACCAGTGAGTACTGCCTCCTACAACAGGAGAAAATTCTTCAGAGTCATTGAACTGTGCCTGCTCACACTGGGCGCAGATAAACACTGCAACTGCTGGAAAGAAGTGGGTGAAAACGCAGGGCAGGATTTATAGGGCAAGGAGATGAAAGGCTGGCCGCCTCAACGTAGTTTGGTTTTGCAGCTGCACTCTGAGATTGCTGGGGAACAGGTTGTTGCCTCAAGAGACTTATTTTGGCTCTTGCAATATGGTAACACACATAGGATCTTCTTTGGAATAAGACCCAAAAGTCCACCTGAACATTGGACTAATGTCTCTATGGTCCAGCAGGTTCTTTGGACAAGAGAGAACAAGGGAGAAGGACCATCCCTATGATGTCTAAGAGTTTTCCACTTTCCAGATGCAGTGATCCCACTGAGGGATCACCGCACACGTCCCTCAGGGCCCAATCTTACGTTGTAGCTTTTAGAAGTATAATAGGTCTAATTTTGCCTACAGTATGAGCAAAGGCTCCACATACCTCATGGACATTGGGATTTTGCCTAATCATCCATATTGTAGAGGGGTTACTTGATTTAACAGGGTTTGCAATGTGATTCTTACCATACTGAATTTGCCTCTTTGATCCACCAGGCTGGAGAGGGCAAATGTTACGACAGCACATGCAGCCAAGGAATAGTAAGTGTTGATAATTGCTTTCATCTGATCAGGCCTTCCAGGTGCAATGGCAGAGTTAAAGCTGGGCCAAAAAAGCCAAAGGAACAGGGTACCTGGATGAATATAAGTCAAAATGAAACGAAGTCTGTTCAGTGACAAGGGATATTTTGATATGAAAGATCCAACGCAACAGAACTAGCTACAGGAAAAGAAGAAGATGGTCAATAAGAAACATGAAATAGACAAAATGCTGGAGGAAATAACAGATTACGCAGAAGCTTTTGACACTGGCAGCTGGGATTTTGACACATGGTCTGTATCAAATCTTACTGGAAGACTTTAACACATTGTGACCCCTTATAGTTCCCCACTCACTGCCAGAGATCACCACCACTGTGGAAACCATGCCAGAATAGGATGCACCACATTTTCACATGCAAATACTTTATCATCTGTAGTTTTAGCTGGCAAATTGATCTGTGAATAGAATAGATCTCATGACAGACAGATGTATGGTTTCTAATATTCATTAGCACGACAGGTACAGCTCAATACTTTTAATTATGGCCAATTTCTATGGAAATGGATGCAGTGTAATAATAGGTGATCATTAAAACACAGGGATGAAAGGGACATGAACAACTGATCAGCACTCAATATTACTTCACTTACCAATCATGGCAAACATGTCCGAATGGTAGGTAGATTCTTCATTTTCATGTTTGTTTTTCAAACCAGGACGATACAAGACTAAGGTTACAGCCAAACCAAAATAAGCTCCGAAGGCATGGATAGTCATTGAGGCTCCAACATCAGTGGCCTGTAATAGAGACCCAAAATACTGTCACAGCTTTTATACAGCAAAAAGATGAGCAGTTAAGGAAGGAGAAGTCTGGATAACTTTAATCGTTTATAAAACCTAGAATATGTAAAATGGAATTTTTACAAAGTGAAAACATTTTTTATAATTAAAAAAGAATTTTTGCTAAGTAGTTGTACCTGAAATACTTCTGCAACTAGATGTTCGTTGCATGCAAAGATTGTGATCTCCAGAATTGTCAAGATCAGCATCTGAACAGGACTTGTTTTCCCCAGGACAGCTCCAAATGAAATCAAAGCAGTTGCTGTACTGAAGTCTGCATTTATCATGCTGAGGTTAAGAAAATGAATAAAATAAAACAAAGCAAAACAGAAACACGAGAGAAAAGAAAAATCAGTTTAAAGAGACCTGAAATAAAGCTGTAATATCAAGCCTGTCATATCATTAAAATGATAGAGCTTTAACTCTACAGATATAAAATTATCAAGATCATCTTTGTGGATGAAAACATAAATTAATCAAAAACTTGCAGCACAGAAGGCACTAACTTAGGAGTCCCTCTACAAATGCCAGTCTGTAAACATTAAGGAACTACTTGTATTATTTATGCTTGTCCCTCAGTAATGCTTGGATGCTGTTCCTTTCAAAATTATCAACAAGTTCTCTCAGAAAACAGAACCACAGGTGTGGAAAACACTCTGAGACCTTGGCAGAAGCAGGACAGATGAATGGGAGGGGGATTAAAAGTATGCAGAGACATTGTTCATGAGGTCTCTTATGCTATGATTGGGGTTCATAACCTACTGCAGTATGCTGTGCTGGCAAATCATTCCTTGAGAAGTAGGAGAACACCTCATGAGTGGGTATATACACTGTTCCAACCTTTCTCCTGTGACCCCCTGTGTCAGGGAAAGACAGATCCTTTCATGCTTGCTGGAAGCAGGAGATGCTGTGCCACTGCTGGAAACCTTCCAGCTTCCACAGCTCCAGAGATTCAGAGCAGTCTCTCTTCATGACCTACAGCCCACATGTAACGTACCACCTCAAATTTCATCCCACTCTTAAGTTGCCTTGGCCCAGTGCACTAGGTGTTGCCCCTTTAGAAGTGAAGGGCAGATGAATGTTGCAGAGGTGGACAGTAAGGCTCAAGCAAATCTCAGTGAACTTAGAAGTCCGATCCAGCAGATGTTACAGTTTATGGCTTCTCTTGATATCTTAAGGAACAGAAAAGTCATTTTTGGTAAATTCACATGTACCTTTTGACATTGACATGAATTTTCCCTCCTTTCATGTGCCAAAATCCTTGCATCAGGGTTCCCCACTGGAGACCAAAGGCAGCAATGAGCATGGTGATACCAACACTGCTGAATCCATATTTCTTCAGAAAGGTCATCAGGAAACCAAATCCAATAAATATCATCACATGGACATCCTGAAAGACTGAAGGGAAAACACGTCTGTGTAACGATTATGAAGAGTGACTGTGAAGGGAGGAAAGCTAGGGACAAATGAGGATTTAATAGAAAAGAAAAGAGTTCCAAAGCCATGTTATCGATGTGATCCACCCTTCCCCACTTCATGATCAGTCTCTAGTTGCAGATTGAGTGTTTGAAAAATGCAAGACCTAATTATTGATTTTATTCCTTGCTATATCATTATGGAAAGAACACTAGGTCTCTATACCAGCAGATTTAGTGTATCTGGAACTGTGCTCTGTGTATGAAGTTACTGGAAACAACTCGGCTTCATGTCCTTGCAGAAAAGGTCACTTCCCCTTCAAATAAAGGCTGTCATCTCCAGTTTGTTCTGACTAACTCCAAAATTGTACATAGGATTTTTCTGACAGAGTGTCAGTTGGGCCAGTGCTGTGATCCCTAAAAATTACTGTAAAAGAGATTTATTTCTTTACCCAGGTAAAAGAAAAAGACATTGAATGTAATGTATAAACTAGTAAATTAATATTGCTAATCAGCATATCCTCCTTCATAGCCCTCCTTCAAATATGTTTTTTCTCTCCCCAAATATGAATTTTGTTAAAATATTGTTATTTTTCTACTTTTTTTGAAGCAGTTGGGGGTAGGGGGTTTTTGTTTGTTTGTTTTGTGTTTTTTTAACTAATTTCCTTTTTTGGACTTTTTCATACAAACTGCGTTTATCACCACAACATGGATATTTTATGTTTTAAAATATTTTGCTATTCTGAAGTGTTTCATGTGATTTAATGGCCTCTACACCAAATGGGTTTGAGTCGTCTAATTAATAACTTTTCTTTGATTTTATTGTTAGTAAGAACCTCAGTATAGAGAAACTATTTCATTTCATTTCTACTTCGTTGCCTTCGTGCAAATACACGGAAAAAACTTGAGATATTGACCTGGGTAATATAATACTTGATTTGAAGTTACATTTCCCAGTTATGTACTTTCAACATTCATATAGTTTTGCTATATGCATTACCATGTTTAGCCAAAAGAGGGCCCAGAAGTACAATAATTTACTGAAGATTCCTAATAAAATCTCTTATGTTTACACTGCCATATTCCAGCCCTGACTTAGCACTGAAATAACATACACCCAGGTAGGAAGATCTTTTACATGGGGCTACACACATTTAAGAAACAGCATAGAAAGGTAGGAGGTTCACAGACATCCCCAACGCTTTTCCTTCTTCTTTAGGCTGGGCATTTTCACATTTATTTCCTGATGCAATAATAGCCAGTGATGGGATTTTTAAGGCCCCTGCGGTGCTTTGGAACCTTCCCTTTTTCCACCATGTTACTCAGTTTCCAGAACTGTTTTCCAAACTCTTGTGCTTCTCTTACTGCTTATTTTAAAAGATACATAAAAGACACTCTTGTAAAACTACTTTATTAAAAGCTTGTTAATGTTACCCAAAAGAATGCAGAACTAGAGAGAAAATCCATAAAAGCTGCAAAAAAAGCTGCAAAAAAAAGAGCTGCATCTACAAAAGTAGCTTTTTTGTTTGAATTTAGCAGAAGAACATGGAAATGTATTTAATAAATGCTGACCATGACGAGTCAAAGTGATATATGACCTCAACAGTTTTCAGTTTGTGTCATATTTGAGTTTCATGCAAATATGTTACCCAAAAGAATGCAGAACTAGAGAGCAAATCCATAAAAGCTGCACAGTAACATCTACAAATGTAGCTTTTTTTGTTTGAATTTAGCAGAAGAAAATGGAAATGTATTTAATAAATGATGACCATGACGAGTCAAAGTGATATATGAGCTCAACAGTTTTCAGTTTGTGTCATACTTGAGTTTCATGCACAAAATGAGGGGTGCACTTGAAAATTACCTACTTCTCTTTTTATTATTTAGTCAGCCTATGCCATGGACTTCCCAATAAATTTTTTGGTTTGTCCATTCAGCCTAGTCAGCTCCAGGTAAGAAAATTTTTCCAGTCTCCCAGAGGAGGCTACGGTTTGTCAGCATTCAGCATATTACTTGTGGTTGTTTGCAATCTCCTGGTTAAACCAGTGCAGACAAAGCAAGTAAATTGTTCTCATCAAAACAATCCCATTCATGTAGGCAACATCTCTGTAAACCAGGCCTAGATTAGTAAAAGATGCTTCACACTTAAGTAACCTGACTCTACCTCTGAGCAAAAGAACAGGTTTCAAAAGCACATTGATGGCTGAGGAGTTTAATTTTCAGTGCCTGTCGATAGGGCTTCTGCAAGCTCGGTCTCTTTTGAAAGGTGCTTTTAGAAATCTTACCCCAGCCCTAAAGATTAGAAGCAAGCAGCTGGTTGACACCTAATCCTGGGTCCTCCTGAGGGCTAAACAGCATTCATATAAGTGTTTTAGAGTTCTTTGGGTTTCTTTACACAAAAGATTTAAAGTCCTGGTTAAAACTAAGTTAATTCGTGTATGTTGAGGACAAGTTTCAACTATCCTAAGCTACACCTTGTGCTTTAACTACCCCTTACACATTCTTTTAAAGAAGAGTATGTCTGGAATGATTTCAAGTTGTGGAGAAAACAGCATGATTTCTCATAAACTGCTTCAGTTTATTACAAAGCACGAAACATAGTGCTTCTGTTCTGTGAGACAGGGAAATAAAGACTGAGAAGAACAATCCAGCAGATTCTGAGCAAAATCACTGCACGTGATCCTGCAAGGCTGTCCAAGACCAACATATTAATTCAACTGCAAGGACTCCACATGGTGACCAGTCTCAACGCAAAGATGCTTGTGACATCTAGGTTTGTACTAAAAGTGATTTTGTTCTGCCTGAAGGAGTAAACCATAGAACCCTGAACAAGAGCAGCGCATAAATTTTCCTAAGCCATGACGCACGGATCAATCACAGGACATTACATGCAGGATACCAGTATTAAAAAAATCCTCTAGGAGCTCTTGCAGAACCATCACATGCCATTGTCCTCCCATTCCAGTGGCATGGCACACCTGAAATTGTCCATCCAATTTGCCATGTCTGTACTTGCATCCACCAGAAATAGATAAAATGCAAAGCTATACTTTGGGAATGATCTCAGCTCAGCCTTCCTTACCAGAGTGCAAAACTATGGTGACCCTCAATTATTATTTTCATCTTTCTTCAGCCCAAAAATACTGAAACAGCTTGAATTCATTGTGCTGAGGTATTTAAGGCATATAAAAGCAGGCCCTGCACTGCAGTTCTGAGAATATATATTGGTCCCTGGATGAAACAATGGAATCTATGAGGTACAGATGTGTTAACATCCCTGGGGATAACATGGGAAGCAGTTTGAACCCATCATTTTATGAACTTGGGGGAAGTCCTGGCTCAGGATATGTCCTAATGTATCTATACAACCATAGCATTAACTTTCTGCCAGGTCTTCAGGCAAACTGTGGTCTTGAGTGCGCTTTGAAGACAGGGAAGCCTGAGGGGGAGTGGGCCTAAAATAGATATGAGGAAATCCTGCGTTTATTCCACTTGTTTATTCTGTAGAAATATCCGTGCTGTGAAATTATTAGTGCGGTCTTGGGCATAGTTTTTCCTAGGCCAGCTGTCACCTCCTGGGTGATAGTGGACCAAGGGTTGTTCCCAATATACCATCTAGACAAGGCCACTTAATTTAGGAACTGGGGTAGCTCAATATCATGGTCACAGCCACAGCCAAGAGAATGGGCTCTGCCATAGCCTAAGTTACTGTCTCTCAGGGATTCTGCTGCACCTCAGTGGAGTTAACCCAAATATGAGTAATTAGCCCCTGACGTTCATCAGCTGACTTGCATCTGGAGCTGAATAATGCCATGTATTCACTGCTCTCTCAACTGGACAATGCTCTGTGTGAGAACACACACCACAGGACTACTAGGGAGTGAGGTGACCCTGAGATCACATTACCCTGTAACAGTCACTGAAAGGCCAGTTGGAATGAGAAAAAAAGAAGGATACATTCAAAATTACATGGGTACTACATACAGGCAAGGAGTTCTGTACTGTTATGATCATCATTATGAAGATTGCAACGAGTCACTAAGACATCAGAGCCAAGAAAATGAACAAGAAACCTTCAGTACTGCTAGAGAGACACAGGCTGCTCCTCTGCAAACTTATTTTTTCTATTTGTTTACAACTGCAGTCTCGTCTTTGCATGTGGAGGAGGAGGGTGGGAGAAGTCAGCAACCACTTCTCAAGCCAAAAGCTTTCTCCCTGAGCTACATCGAGCATTTGCACAACAACAAATCAACAGAAACATTTGCAGGCTGAACCGTTACTCTACAACTGAGCCACTGCTTTGAGAGACAGACGGGGGTTATCCACCTTGTGACAAAACTATTGTCCTTTGAGGAGTCCAGTTTCTGCAGACTTATTTTGTAACAATGATGAACATGCTGCCCAATTTCCATATTCTCATAAGAGAACCTTTTGAAACCTGGATGATGGTAGTGGAATGTTCTGTTTGTGTTCATTATTTGATAGAGTAATCAGTATAGAAGGCCTGACAAGAAGCACTACCATCCATCTCTGGAAAATGCTAGAATTGTTCGAAGTAATTTATATTTCTCCAAGTTTTAACCTGCTATACTAACAGTAGAACTATTTTCGGGACTCTTCTCTCAGTAGTTAGCTACTTTCAGAATTTTATATGTGCTTGACTTGAATTTGTCTTTGAAGCCTGCTGCTTTCACACCTCAGACAAACTTTGTTTGCCCCAAAGCATACATTTCTTTTCTCGCTATATTGGTAGGTCTCATAAGTTATTCAGAAATCCCGCTCAGGATTAGTTTAAAGAAATTCTAACTTCTACAAATCTTAGACAGCAACACTTACTTGGGTATAAAACTTCAGAGCCATCAGTGAGGTCATATTCCACAAATATCCCAAACAAAACAATGATGATCACTTGCAGAAAAAGAGCCAGGATCGAGAACTTGAACCTCATGTTGGTGTCAAGGGCTGAAGCCATTGCAGGAGAGCGGGCGGCTGGGAGAGCCTGATAAAGGACGCTTGCCTTCAGTGGAGCTGCTTAATTCAGTGGATCTGGGTGATATAGCAGAAAAAAAAAAAATTAAAAAAAAAAAAGAAGAAACAGAGAGACAAGCAAACACACCGTCACACCCACTATGGGAGGGAAACACTATGGGTCAGTATAGCAATTTCTATTTCCCAGGCTATTTCTGTACATGAAATGCTGGCTTACGCGTTTCTTTCAATTTGTAATGCAACCCAGCTCATTTAGCCACAGATATGCTTCTCATTGTCTTATACGTATTTTAAAAAGGAAATAGTGTAAAAGAAAATCTCAGAGAGCCTTGTTTGCTGCACATAGTAAGGAACACAGCCGCAGTCAATTGTGATTCCTGTAGTCAAGAATTTCTTCAAGTTGTAGGTTTCATTTTGAAAGGTTAATAGTTTTTCATCTTATATGAAACATGGATAATCTCCTATCGCTTCATATAAGATTTGGTAAGCAAAGAGAATCTTTTTCGGCAGACTGAAGAAGTGCTTGTTCTTATTTCACAGTGAATTAAGTACTCAGAGCACAAGTTCTCATTGTGAAATCTTATTTAAAAAGAAAATAATTATACTTCTTAGTAAGAAAAAAGGATATTCCTAGTTGTTAGAAGATAAAGTTGTAAATTATTAAAAAGAGGAATTTGAAAAAGCAGCTCAATTTTTCAATTTTAATTATTGCTATTTGTATTTCCCTTAGCTCATAAAATAAAAATAGGTCAGAGACCAAATCTCTTAAATGGTTTTAAAAACCTCTGTTTGTAAACTTTCTCATGAATGAAGGGGTAAATTAAATTTCACTTAGATTACTATTGGATGATCAGTCGTTCTTGAGCTTCACATTGCTTGTCAAAATTGAACTTGGCTCTTAAAAGTTTTATGGATAAAATACTCCATTAATGTGATCCTGAGTAACTTGGCCTCTGTTAATCCAGTGTTCAGAAGATGGGCCAAAATTGTACAGTAGGAGCCTTTACCTCATGAAAAAAAATACATCTATTAAAAAAAGGGATGATATTGCAGTAATAGACTAATTGATCATGAAGTATTAGTACTAGGAAACAGCAAGAAATTGTTGTGTCAATCCTTGGGTATAAAAATCAGCGTAATCCATAGACGCTGGGACGTGATGTTACCTTGGGCTGTTTTCCTGGTGAGACTACTGTTGGAAAATGCTTAGATGCTTATAAGTATCTAAAGGGTGGGTTGAAGGAGGATGGAGCTGGACTCTCTTCAGTGGTTCCCAGTGACAGGATGAGGGGCAATGGGCACAAGCTGGAACATGGGAAGGAAGTTCCACTCAAATCTGAGGAAGAACTTCTTTCCAGTGAGGGTCACAGAGCCTTGGAACAGGCTGCCCAGGGAGGGTGTCGCCTTCTCTGGAGATCTTCAAGACCCACCTGGATGCAGTCCTGAGTAATGTGCTCTGGGCAATCCTGCTTTGGCAGGGGAGTTGGACTGGATGAGCTCTAGAGGTCCCTTCCAACTCTGACAATTCCGTGATTCCGTGAAAAGTGCTCACATGCTATGAGATTTAAAGAATTCAGGTGTTTTTTTTAGGATACATCTATACTAGTACACCAGGCAGTGCCACAACCTTTTCTCCATTTCTGAGAGCACTTTACGTATTTGTCAATCTTTACCTTGCCAAATGTGGTGGCTACTAGTACACCAGGCAGTGCCACAACCTTTCCTCCATTTCTGAGAGCACTTTATGTATTTGTCAATCTTTACCTTGCCAAGCGGGGTGGTTGACACCAGGCGCCTTTTAGGAATGCTGCCCTGTTCTTGATAACTCCTGGACTAAGTCAACTTGACACTGTTTTGCAATCTTAGGGAAGATAAAAGCCCTGGCACCATCCATTTTCTAGTGTAAAGGTAGAATTAGACCACTGTTCAAACCAAGTTTAAAGTGATCTCAGCTTTTTATCCTTGAAAATGGGCCTGTGGATTTGTAATGAACATACCAGTATACCACAGAATCAAACTTGCAAGTGGAAAAGCTAAAATAAGCTTATAGGTACTTTTTTTGTTGTAGAGACTGTATTTCATTAGAACAGCTCAAAGAGAGGAAGCAGAGCTTTGTTAAAAAGCTATTGCTCATCCTTGCTGTACCGCAGGATAAGAAGGAGAGCAATGTTTGATTGTAAGGACTTGTGAGCTCATTTACACAGGAAGTGGTTAAAAAAGGACAAAATCATGAGTAAAGTTCATTTTGTTTTACCCATAGCTTAGCCATTAATATCTTGTGTTATTCATTACACAATGTTTTCCCCAGTGAATATCTCACATGATGTATGTGCCGTCTTTATATTAAGTTCTTTCAGGGGTGCAGAAAAAGCTCCTCATTGAAATCTTATTGGACAAAACATCTTTTAATAAATGTTTGAATTTTAAAATAGGTCGAGTCAAGTTCATCCAATCAGGACTTTCTCTATTATTACTTTAAATCTTAAATTGCATGTAGGTAGATAAACATAGGCCATCTTTTAATAAATGTTTGAATTTTAAAATAGGTCGAGTCAAGTTCATCCAATCAGGACTTTCTGTAATATTATTATTTGAAATCTTAAATTGCATGTAGGTACATAAACATACGTTGAAATCTTATTGGAGAAAACATCTTTTAATAAATGTTTGCATTTTAAAATGGGTCGAGTCAAGTTCATCCAATCAGGACTTTCTCTATTATTACTTTAAATCTTAAATTGCATGTAGGTAGATAAACATAGGCGCACAGAGACACAAAGTCCATATTGAAAGAGTATTCATCGCAGTGGAAACTTTGTGCATAGGAGAAAGTCAGTAGGTCCTGCATTTTATCCTAACATATTTCCCAGCTGAAGCAACTGCTGTGGCAACAGCTGTCTATCATTCCCATCTTTTTTCCTGGCTGTTGTCTTTTTTCTGACACAAGCTCACCAGGTGATGGGGTACAACCACCTGCAACATCTCATTTCAAAGGCCAGCAGTCTTTACCTGTGCATCCAACTACTGCATAGGTCAATCAAAAATGCACACATCTTGAGCTGCTGGTCTTCAGTGCCCCGGAAATTCCCTCATGTCTCCTTATTAGCTTCAGCCTAATCACCATGGCTATAAATACAATGGAAGAAGTGAGGGTGTTCTTAGATAAGTATCGTTGCACACCTGGATCTCAATGGAAGAAGTGAGGGTGTTCTTAGATAATTATCGTTGCACACCTGGATCTACTAACTAACTCTGGGTATTTGTCTTTTAAATGGCTGTTGGGTTTGTCATCCTACCTTTCCACCTGAATGAAAAACGTGGTGTTGGTGAAGTATCACAGCCTTTATGCAAATGAATGTGAATTGAATTGAATGTGGATGAAATGAATGTGAATGAAATGAACTGTGGCAGACTTTCTAGCCTGATGTGTGCTCTTATTGTGGACATAGCTACAGAGACCAGAAATGTAGGATAAGGTGCATCTTGCCTGCACACAGTGTTTCTGAACCTACTGAACCTTGAGCTGAATAAGTTTTTTTGCGAACATTGACATTTACCCCATTTCTCTGGTGTCATGGTAGAAGAGTTTTTTCATCAAACATTAACTTTAATGCTTTGAGTCAGCAAAAACCTACTTCACCTCAAACTGAGAGCTCAGCCAAGTAAATGCAGTTTGTCCATGCAGTCTTTAAGTAGCCTCCTTCAACTTGAAGAGGGAAGTGACAATTAGTGTGTTTTCTGATTCTTTGGGTAACAACAAGATTGTTTTGACTGGATCCATATCACCCCGGTCAGCCTTTTATCTGATTTCTTACAAATGCAGGTAAAATAAGCTCACTAATGCCCCACTAAAAATTTATTACAGGGAACACTAAGGTGTTCATCAAAAGAGAAAGGAAACACAATGGACACAAAGCAGTCGCAGTTTAATACATAGATGATGGTTTAGTTGACTTTATTACAGGGTCTCTTGCTAAAGTAACTGTGTTTTATTTTTCCATTTGAAATCACATACTTTCTTCTCTACAGAAGACCTTGCTTGATTACTTTACAACTCAAGTACACAAAGAACTGAGAGAGATTAAGACTAGAAGGAATTACTCAGTCTTTTTATTCTACCATCTAAATATAATGGGCCAGAGAATTGCATCCAGTTAATCTGTGTTTGGCTCAAGTGCACCTTGTCAAAGCGGAGCATGGTGGGCTTAAAAATTTCACTTTTCCATGTAATGCTTTTGTTGCAGGAGTGTTGCGAAGTAAAAACAAACTGCAGAAGCAGAAACTTTTGGTTGAGGTGTATCCCAAAGTTGCAGGAAAGCTGTTTACAAGAGATAACAGGGTTCGTTCTCCCTTACATGAGGGCCAGTTGTGATAAAAAAAAGGGACTACCTCAAGCAAGATGAATGCTTTACGGCCAGTTGTGATAAAAAAAAGGGACTACCTTAAGCAAGATACACCTTAAAGCTCTACCTATTATCCTGAGAAAGCAATTAGAATTGCTTATATGGCATTCTTGCTGTTGTGTATAAGGGAGATGAATGCTTTAAGTCTCGGATGCTACTTGCAGAAGATGTTAGTGATGAATCATGTCTATTGTCCCTTCCTCCCCATCAGTCTTGTGCTTAATTGTATCTGGGCACTTGAGGTGCCTCTTATAGAGACACTGTTCCTCCCAGTGTGAAGGCCCTCACTCAAGTCTTGCTCTAAAAGCAAGCAGGTATTGAGCTTCTGAAAAAGCACAAGGAGATGACTTCAGACATGGCAATGTATCATCTCAGTTGTCGTTCCTTACTGAGGACTCTAGATTTCAAAATCCAGTCTGGAGCTGTGAATATACCTGTATTTGTGTTCACTCTGCTCTTTGCAGAAGAAGAGCCAGAAGAGCACTAGGAAAGGTCACTTGTCAAGGAAATTGAGGAGAAGGTCTTTGTTCCCCACTGACCTTTCATGATACAGCTTTCCTTACTGGCATCAGCAAATATATATGCAGGTCAATTTGGACAATCTCCATGTTTCTCTTGGGTTGCAGACACTTTACAATGTCACTTGATTCACA